CCGCTCTTTACATGCATTATAATCTACACACATGCAAAATACAATTACACCCGTTATAACGGATTGTACCGTTATGAAACTGGAGAGAAAGAAAGAGATAAAAAAGTTTTTTAAATGTGTTTTTCTGTTTTTTCTTTGCATTCAAAATGAAATAAACAACGTTTGAATTTTGCAAAAAGAAAAAAGCAGAAAAAATGTAGAAAAGTATATATGTGTAAATAGAAAAATAAGACTAGATTATCGGGCATGCCGATTGGCTGTCCATCTTGATTCTCGTTGCATCATCCAATAGCGAGTGAGCACAAGGCGAATAGCAACAAATTGTTACTTGTTGCGCATCATGACTTTTCTTCGTGCCGACCGATCGAGCTCGTCGTCGTCGTGAGTTCGTCATCGTTCGATCGCCACTGAGGAAGATCATCAGCGGCGTCTTCAATGACGACGTGACGCGTCGTCGAGATAGAGAGAGAAAGAGAAAGCCCGCCAGTGCAGACGGACGGACGCCGTGGAAGACGACGACGCGCCCCTTGACATAGGCCATTTTGCGCGGCGTCGGGATTGATGAAAGGGCCTGTTCCTTCAGGGGCAGGTCGAGGCAGATGCGCGCTGGTTCTATCTCCCCTTCGCAGGTACATACAATGTTTATACGGATCTCGATTTTCCGAACTCGTTTTTCGATCCTCGAAGGCGAGCGAACTGAAATTCACAAACGAGTATCCGCAGGTCTTCGTAATCCGGAACGGAAGCGACCGAGTATAGCGTGACCGAAATCGGAAAGTCGGTGAGCGTGCGAAAGTTGGTGGCTCGTCGAGGAGGAATCTCTCTCGCAATCGCGAATAAGGATAGAACGTTATTTCCCCAGGTTCCCGAAATCACACGCTACGCAACGACAGAAGCGATGGAGAAGATAGGTGAGTGCACAATTGATACGAGATATAGTCCTTGCGCAACATATGACAGCATTGTGCATCTCTAATGAAGTGCATTTTTACAAAGCGTAACTTCTCATATGTAATTTATATGAATGATAATTTTATACTTTTTATTTATTTTATATCGTGTTTTTTTATTCTAACAGAGAAATGTAATTTAATTTAGATTTTATTTAAAAATTATGCATGATATTCAAAGAATTTAAAATGGAAATCAGAGTCTTGAAATAGTGTGAAAGTTTAATTTTGTACTATGCAAATTATAAAAATATATTAAAATATAGTGAAAACTAATAAAATAATAGTTTTATATATAATTTATATTTATTTCTTGCAGAGATTGTAAAAATAGAGGAATGTACTGATGCTGTACTGATTGATGGTACAACCACAGAGATCTTATTTGGTAATTTAATTATTTAAAAGTAAATATTTGTAATATTATAAAATAATTTTTATTATTTATACATTATATTTTTGTAGATACAGATACCTCAGATATACAGATACAGGATCAGCCTATATTAGTAGATTGTAGTCCACATACTGATGTAAAAGGTAACTTAATTTCTATATATGTATACATACACACACACACACACACACGGAATGTTTAAGAAAATCAGCACTTTTTATTGTATACTCTTTGGCAGTTACTTTCTCCATAATCAAATAATATTTTACTTAAATATATTTTATAAAGACATCCTTTCTGTATATATATTTGAATATATTCACACGAGTGCCTGTAAACAATGTATAGTTTCAATGCTTTAGCTTATCAATATTTTTGTTCTTTTTTTTATTACATTATTTTATTATTTATTTATTTGTTTTGTGTTAACAGTTATTTCAGAAAATGGTCAAATTATATCAATTATTACTGACTATGAATGTGTGACATGTCACCGTATCTTTCAATCTGAAGATGTAAGTCGTAGTTTTATTTTTTTTAACCTGTTTTGCACATCTATCATTTTCTTATCTTGTTGCTAATTTCATTCTCGTTTAATATTTTCTCTTTGCGATAGATGTTAAAGGAGCACTTAGACATGTGCAGAGAAGAAGATGACACGACAAATATCATGGAGTTCAATGATATGGAAAATTATGATTCAGAAGATAACGAAGAGGATGAGGATGATCCATCTTTAAATGAAGGTATATAATAGTTATGTATTAAACAATATTTATTTGCTTTTACATTACAAACTTCAAACTTATAATCTATATTTTTAGATTCAGATTCCAAGAGCCAAAAGAATAACAATGAAAAGATTAAACCTGTAATCAAGCCTGTACCGGAAACGCAATGTCATTGTTGTGCGGAAGATTTGAAGACAGCGCATAGCGGTGGGGGATTCAAATGTCCCCATTGTAATCTCAGTTTCAAGAAGAAAGCGTCTTTGGAGAGGCATGATATAGTTATACACTGGAAGTGCGATACGTGCACGTGCGACGAATGCGGCTCATCTTTTCGTGATAAAAAAGCATTAAATAAACACCGCTATACCACGCATGGAGACCGCAAAATTTTTAGGTATGTCTGCGCACAATTATTTTTTTTATTAATTATTACTGTCAATTACAAAAGTTATCTAACGCTCTATATAATGATCTATATTCTTTTTGTAATCATATTTAAAAAAATTTTTATTATTTGGAAGGAATAGATATTACATGACCTTTATTATTTGATAGCGTTAATTGTAGATAAAATATTATTGTGAAGTTGTAGCTTGATCTCCTGTTATTATTTATATCATATTTACTTTTATTTCACTTTTCATTATTTTAAAATTTTACATAATATTTTAGATGTGAGCCTTGCGACACTTATTTCTCTCGGGGCTACCATTTAAATCGACACATTATGCAATCTGGTTGTCACGGCAGTATACTTAATACATTCAGTTGCCAAGTAAGTATATAAATTTTGCTGATAATTTTTAAAAAATGTGGGTGATACTTAAAAAGTAATATGAGTGAATAATTTTATTACAGGTTTGCAAGAAAGTTTTCACGCGTAAGGATAATTTGCGGGAACACTTGCGTACTCACGCGGGAACACCTCAGAGACAAAAAAAACCGTGTAAATATTGTCCAAAAGAGTTCTTTACGAGCCAACAGTTGTTGGTTCATGAACGTATGCACACTGGAGAGCGGCCAGTCTCATGCGATTTATGTCCGAAAACATTCCTCTCGTCGTTGGCGCTAAAAAAGCATCGTCGTGTACATACCGGAGAGAAGCCGTTCGAATGTAAATATGTAAGTGTATTTTATTTCACAATTTTTTAATAAATGCATTTATGAATGCATTGATGCATTTATAATATTTACAAAAGTTTTTAATATCATATTAGTATTTTTTTCTCGAGCGATATATAAATAATAAGATTTTGTTAAATTGTACTCTGCAAGCTAGCTAACATTGTGGATGGAAAAATATTACCGTAAGTTTTCATTAAACTGACATTAATTACGAATATTTTTAATACATAAGAAACGTGTTTTAATTATAAATACAATCAACTCTCGTTAATATATTTTTTAAGCAAATATAAGCATAAAAATTCATGTTTTCAGTGTCAGAGAAAGTTTGCCGCTCGCGAGACACTAAACCGTCATCAACGGACTCATACAGGCGAAAAGCCGCATGTTTGTCAGTATTGCGGTAAATCGTTCATACAAGCAGCTCAATTAAGAGCACATATATTCCACCATACTGGAGAAAATGGCTTTTATTGCGACGTATGCGGTAAGGCATTCAACCGAAAAGCACGTTTAAATATTCACAAGAAATTCGTGCACGAGGGTGCTATTCCATTTACGTGTAAAAACTGTGATAAAGGCTTTACGCGAAAGGAGGACTTGGTGAAACATGCGCTGTTGCACACTGGCATCAAACGTAAGAGATTGAACAATATATCTTATACAAAAAAAATTATATATATATATATATATATATATATATATCTTTTTAGAAATATATTTATACAGTATTTTTGTTTATTGTCTTTATATTTATAATTTGTATTGTATTTTTTATATAGTAAAAATAAAAAACTTGAATGTCAATTTTAATCACATTACACATCTATAATGTATTTATCTCATTTGATATAACAATACATAACAATGATATTTGTTATATTATAAATTTTTCCATTTTTGCGTTGCATTTTAGCATTCAAATGCGACAAATGTCCAAAAGCCTTCTCGGCAAAGTCGTCGTTGCAAGCTCATCTCAATACCCACAGACGCGAACCGCCCCAGTCGTGCATCGAGTGTAATAGAGTATTCATCCGACAAGACTGTCTGATGCGACACATTCGGGCGAAGCATCGAGAACTATTGGAGGACGTGATGAACGAGGTCGAAAGAAAGCATTTGCAGACACAGTTATACAACATTGCCTCGATTGCCGCAGCCAAAACGAAAAACGGAGAATCCAAAAGGCTTTCCACCGACGAATTGTTAAAAGCCATCATAGATCTCTTGAGGATACTTATTGATGAGGAAACATTACAGGTACATAATTTTATTAATTCGGTTTAAACTTTAATATTATTACTTTCTCTCTAATTTAATTAATAAATAAGTTATTTGTTGATTGTACTTTAACCACGATATCGGCAGCTATTTGGTTGGCCAGAGGCTCCGATACAAGATATTTTGGAGGCTGTGATCAGAAGATGCGGGCATGAGCCTATAACGTCGGAATCCAACATAATGTTCACCGAGAGATTACGACAAAATGTTAAGCTTTTATTTACCGTCGTCATCGATACAGTAAAAGATGACACGGTGAAATCCCTTTTGACGACGAAGACAGTGGACGATGTCATTCTCCACGTTTTAGAGATATCTAATGGCATACACGATTAGGAAGGGAAAAGTATATTTATTATTATTATTATTATTATTATTATATGAGAAAAGTGCTCATACTCTCTTTTTTTGAATTCTGGATATTTTAAGATCATGCCAAGACGCGCGAGATTTTTGAAAAAAAAAAAGAAATGATTTGATCGACTTTATACACATAAATCAACGAATAATATAAAATCGGGGAACGGGTTTTTTATAAGCTTTTTTTGTTTAATTGTACAAAAATCGAATAATGAGATATGCTAGCATTATACGTTACATCGTACAATGTAACGCATATCTTATTAATCACTTGACAAATATTTTAAATTCTTTTTTTGGATTACTTAAAAAAATGTCTATATATATATTGTTTGACCAATCGCTTCTGGTAACATTGTTACTGCGGTAATATACTTATTAAGATAAATCCCATTCAATTTTTTTTATATTGCAACTTTATAGATATATTTTTGCAATGATGTTAATTGTATACTATACATATGATATGTTCAAGCATGCGGTGTATGTATGTATACTTAGGTTTTATGTGAGACTAAAGTTTTCGTTCTTTATTCTTCTGCTGCAAATGTGAGGAATTCTATTAATCAAGATTATCTATACAAACGAGAGAGAAGAGAGTCAAGGACGTGTACATTATATACATATATAAAAACATATATTTATATATATATTTTAAATGCTACGAATAAAACTGAAAAAACACCTATATTAGATATATCATTTTCTATGTAAACGAAGAATATATATACATTAATACATAGCTCGATTTAAATCTGATTTTTCGTTTTACCCGCGCATTCTCCCGCCTCACGTCTCCATGGTTACCGTTCGAATACGTCGACGGCGGCTTCCGTGATATTCGCGACCGACTTCCGGTTGTCAGTGCAGCGGGCTGCACTTTGCCGTACGGGAGTCATCGTTGACTGTCGATCACTTTGGTTGAGGATTACTGGAAATTAGGGACTGTCAAGGATTTTCTACGCGTTCCTGAGAACTTGCACGCTTCGGATTTCATTTCCGGCAGTGAGTACACGTTTAATTTTCAATATACGTGTATATTGACAATCCGTATTTTTTTATAAACGTCATGGCAATCGCGATGCAGCGCACGTTGCGTGTCGATACGAGGTCGTATCGATTTTCTGCCCTTTCGACAGGGTTGTGTCATGCGATTTCCGATTACATGAATTCGGAATACGAAATGGTAGAAAACACGCAATATAAAAATAGAGCAGCATTTTCGCCATGTTTTCGAATTTTAAGAAGGACAATTTTATTTCGCATAGCATTTCGAGAATATAAGACTCTCGCGTAATACGAAGATGTTTTTTTTTCCATCTGCCAGATATAAGAAAATGTAAATATAGTAAATATATATGCAAGGTTAGATTTGTTGTAAGAATGAGGCAAAGCGACATGCGCATGCGTGCATAAACGCTACGTTATTGCAAAATTGTAAAGGAATTTCGGAAGTAAAATTAAACGGATGATTGCAGTTCCTGTAGAGGCAGTTGCAAATTAAAAAGTTATGCCCTAATTCTCATTATTCAAATTAAATAGAGTGAAGAAATAGTTGAAAGTAAAATTAATTTATCGAGGAAGTTCTATTTTCAAAGCGTTATATATTTTGCATAATAAAGTGATAGCGTAAAAATAATTTTGTCTTGTATAAGACATATATCTTTTAACATTGTAATATAAATTTATGTAAATTTATCAGTTTTTAGATGTGTGTTCGTATGTGTGTGCGTGTGTATGTATATATGTACTTGATACACTCACGCACACTCATATATATGTATGCATTTTATTATTGTTTTTTTTCTTAAAAAAGAATCTGAAAATACGCACACAATTCGATTTCCCAAAACGCAGAAAGTGTAAGAAAGTTCAATTCGCGTTCAAAACGTCCCGTTTCCCGCGCGTGGTAATGGCTTTCCCTTTCCCCTACCCTGCGCACGCACCGACGTCTCATTGGTCCGCGTCATTGACGGCGGAGATCACGTGACGCCGTGGCGCTGCGCCGCTCGCGCCGCAGTTCGCTGCGCTCATTCGCGGTCCGGACGAGTAACGCGACGGATGGTGGGTGCAAAGTGATCGTGCGGTTGTCTTTCTTTCTACCCGCTGTGCATGGTATCATCGTCGGTGTCAGTGATAGCCGGTTGCCTGCACTGCTCGTCGCGGACAGATACAAGCCTCGTCCGCTTATCGATCCGCTTCAAGGTTAGTCAGTGTAACCCAGCTTCGGCGCCGAGCGCCCGTAATTAACAACACGTTTCTTTCGAGAGCGTATGTTTTTCATGTGTGTATAAGTTCATTCGATTATATAGAGCGTGATATACGCGCACGATTATCCGTGTTCCTGCTGGCCCGGAGATTCCGGGAGATTCCGATCTCGCTGGGGCGGTTATAGAAAGATCGATAATATACAGTAAAAATAAAGATTAATCATGTTTTCGAACATTTCTCGCGATCGGAATAACACCCAATACGGTACAAATAAAAAAATTGGATCATGTAATAAGGAGAAAAAAAAATTGAATTCCCCGAGTTAAGCAAAGTCTCACTGTGTATAATCCGGACATGAAAAAACTCGCGAGGGATTTTTTTGCGGGATCTGTGAAGAGGTTCAAAGATTACAAACATAAATATGTAATTCTAAGATCACAATGTATTATTCTTGAAAGATTTTTTATTGAGTTTGAAATTTATCTTTGTTTGGCGAGAAAGTTTAATCGAGAAATAAAGAAAAAAGAAAAATCGTCCCTTTTTCCGCTGTTTTTAAATTTTTAAACTTATAATTAAGATTAACTTATCAATTCTTAAAATTGAATCTATCTAATCTTTGTCTTGTTGAAAATAAAGATTTCGTCATTTACATACACATAGACAGAGCTTTCATTTTTCAAAAATTAATATATTCGTCATTAATTTTCCCAATAAATTTCCGTTTGCGTCTAAGTAGAATCGATTTTAGATTTATAAGAATCTATTATTGCAAAACAATTCAGAAATATTGGGATATCCTGTACGTGCGGCAGACATACCACTCAATTTTCCAATTGGAATTTCCGATCGAGATATCGGAATTAAATTCGACCTCGCTTAACCGAGTAATTATTAATTATCGAATAATTAAATGATTAATCTGGTACGTAATGAATTAAATATTTTCTAGTTTCTATAAAAATATATATTTAGAATGTTTGTTGTGGGGGAATGAATAAACACTGATTATATTTCTTCTTGTTAGTTGTATTTTGTACAAAATATAACGTTATAAAAGAATTAAAGGCAAATTCGGAGCAATTTTGAAAAAAATTTTAATTATGTATATAATATTTGATTTTTTCGAAGTTAGTTTTTTTTTGTAAATTATTAAATTTGATGTTTTGTTTGCAAATCTTTCGAAAGTTTCGCCGTTTACCTAGCATTATAATATTCTTTTTTCTTTATTTATCGAGATGTGTCACGAGATGCAATTCAACGTCGAGTTCGATCACGTTTGACATTTGCCGCGTGTTCTGACATTTCATTCAGTTTTCCGACTTTTTATGCACTTTTATGATTCGCTGGAGAGATTAATTAATCCGAAATCGTAAAGGTGAATCTTGTTTGAGTCATGATGATGACGTGTATCGAATTTGTATAAATAAATATACACAGGGATTTAATTATTGATATATTTTTTCATATAAGTGTATTTTTTTAAAATTAACAACTATCTCTTTAGTTACTGTTTATAAAATTTATCTTATCTTTAACTCTTTAGTAACCGTTGGTAAATTTCATCACAGTTTTGAGAAATTGAATTATCCTTATCTTAATTATGTGCAGCTTATTTATATAAGCGTGGCTGCTTACAATCACCTTTTCAAGTTAAAAAATCTGGGAAAGCGGTTTACAATAAACGCGTATAATTAAAAGATAAAGATAATTTGTAATCTCTTTATACGTATACGAAGCAATTAGAAGATTATTATATATGAAGCGCTCTTGGTAAATTATATTTATTTTTTAGTCCAGATTACAGAATATTAAGATTAAACGGGATTAAATTTTGCTTGTATTAATAATATAAATTAATTTTTTTAAATATTATAATAATCTCTTCTACAAGAAAATTGTACGTATCTTTATATGTATTTTCTTTTGCTAGCTGTTTTTTTTTACCGCGCGTGAGATAACGGTCAAAAATCGGAGAAAGTGTATCGTTGGTGACGCGTTTAAAAGACTTGTATATTCCGAATGTTATTGTATTACATCTGAAAACTGATTGGGGTTATCTTTTTTTTTTTTTCAATGTTTGCATCGCGCGTGTCGTCCTTATATGGATAATGTGAGTGTGAGTCACGTGCACATGAATGAGTATAAAAATATTGATTTTCCCTTACATGCTCCTGTATTTATAGCGATGTTCCCGTATCTATTCCGGCATCGAAAGTTGTGCAACACTTTCGACGTATCACCACTATATGTAAGAGTCCTACGAGCTATTGTGTAGCCGAGCGTGGCTGAGGCGCGTCGCGAATATACGTAATTATTGCAATAATGTCATTCGAGTTTTCCTTAAATAAATTCTTTATTGCATTTCTCACCGTTATCCTCGACATAGTTTTCGATATTTTATTTATTTTTATTGCGCAATATAGACATTCTGCTGCAGACTTCTCATGTTTATTGTTAAAAAGAAAGATCGCGTCAACGATAGTCAACGAGTATGCGTTTTACGATTAAATATTAAACAATGTATTAAAGATAAAAGTGTAATAACAAAACTACGTTTCGTAGATCAAACGATAAAATTAATGATATGGTTGGTTTGTTTCAGTTTGCAATTTTATTTTGTACTAAATTTGATTCAATCATATTTGATAATATGTCGAGATATGTGATAGTTCACAGTTAAAGTAGCACATAAACCGTGCGGAACGACATATAATTCTTTATGCTCAGATAGATATAAATAGATCAATAACACGTGACAAAATGCACGTTGCTGCTTTGATCGCAATTTTGTCTTTAGCAATATTACGCAATAGAAAAGAGGGATATAATGCGCAGACGCACTGTAAACTTTCATCCCTTTTGTCAACTGATGCGGAAAAGATTTAAAAAAGTCTTATAGTGATCGCAGGCATCTTTCATAAGAATGCGTTTTATATACTTCTGTAATACTTCGTAAACGCTTCGAGAGAAAGAACCTTCTCAACTACGGAAAGCAAAGTTCCATGTGTTCTTTTTCGCTTACCGATGCTTACAATTGCATGACGAATCCATGTTGTTATTATGAGTACCGTTATTGCAACGCGAATCCTTTTAAGAATCAAATTCTTTTCTTATCTTTTTTATTGTAATATACATATATCGTGTGTTTTACTTACATAATTTTAATTTGACAGTAACATCGATCTTCTTAAAATTTTAATAGAATAAACTATAACAGTTTTTTTTTTTTTTTTTTTGTAACGATATACATAGCGACGGATATAATTATCATGAGAATTTATCTCGTAACACTGATTATATTTTTCTTCATTTTTTATGTTGACTCTATTTTTTACGTTAAAACTTTATTTTTTCCATTCATTTTTTCCGCATGAAAAATTAAAAAAATTAAGTCACAAATGGAAACTCTTTTCCTTTTCCGTTTTATTGCGAATCTCCTATCTATTTATGCGTTTAGCGATATTCTCTCTTCTCTCTCAAGTAGCAACGAGTTGCGAGATGATGCAAGAGTGAAAGAGAAAGAGAGGAAAAGAGAGAGAGAGAGTGAGAGAGAGAGAGAGAGGAGAAGAGAGTCAGATCACCGCATTGTCATAGCATGCTGCGGCACGATCGACCGCACACACTTGTCATTTAACGTACACATATCCTATATCATTCCTCTTGCATATTGCTTACATATTTTGCAAGCATCCAGACGAGAATATCGTGGACGATTACATTCCACGTGTGACTAACGTCATCGTCATTCGTGATGTCACGACTTATGCGCCAATTATGCGTAACCCAAATATAGAATCGTCTCATCGAAAACCGTAGGATTTTAAAATGATAGAAGAAATAATTGTTTTTTTCGCGAAAAAATCCCGGGGACTGTCGATCTTGTTTGTTATGGCCGTGTTTGTTTGTCTATTACCACAGTTTATGCTAAAGGGAACATATATAGATGAAATGTTGTGGAAAAAAATTCAAAACAGTTTTGAAATAAATTATTTTCTCGTTTTCTTTTATTTTTGCGAAATTTTTCCGTAAAAATAAGCCGAGTTCACCGCGTCGGAATCGCATGCGCTTGTCTGGGCGGCTTTATCGACGACGAAACGGTGACATCCGGGTCCCGATTGCGTTGTCCGTGATCTTGAAGCAACTCGCCATACAAACCGTCGTGGCACGCCGGGATACCCTTTCACCCTGGAAGCTTGCCAATTTCCTTCCTCGAGGGCAAGGACGGAACCGGCGAATAAATCATGCCGCTATCCGTTACACTGGTATACAAATACTAATGGAGCGCGTAATTAGGGGCGGACCGTTATTATTTTTGTCTTACACCGTCGCTCTCGGCGATGTTTCCATTTCGAACGAAAATAATTTTTTTTGTTTTGTTTATACTCTCGAAGAATCTCGAGATTGCTGATTGTGATTCGATTTTGTGTATCCGGGTTAATTGTTCATTTCAATATTATTTGCTCGACTATGTATTTGTCTCCAATCGTAGAATCTCTTCTTTTTTTTTTTTTTAACTCTTGGATGCAAAAAAGAGATCTTATTTATTTTATGGTTTTTCCAATAACTTCAATCTCTTTTAAGATTGTTTTCTTTCTCTAAATAATTTCCAAAGAAATTTTAAAGCCATGTTTCGATAGAATTCAATTTAAATTGATCAAAATTGTCTTTCTGCTATTTGCATCTTTATTATCTAAGAAGCGATGCAGAAACGATATTCAAAAATTATAAAATTGATTTCCTTATCATTTTATTATTATAGTGGATATCAGAAATCGAAAGAAAGACTTAAAAAAGCAGAAGAAAATATATATTCTCTGAAGAGACATTCGAATACTTAACAATTTAATATTCAGCATTCTATTCTCCGCTTGAAAGAATATCAGAAACGTTTACCCATTCCTCGATTCTCTGATTTCTCTTTACCTAAAAAGTCTCATTATAAATGCCTTTTTATACACCGCTTCAAAACGATATTCGCGGCGGCGAACGAGTCTCTGTTTCTTGACCTGCCCGCACCCAGTTTCAAACCGATCGACCAGCTGATCGTTTATCCCGATCGCGCCGGCCACATCGATGTTGAGAGAGCCATGCAGGTAGGAGAGGGTGGATGGAAACGAACGACGACGGCGACGGAGATACCGCGTCGCGTCTGCGCGTCGCGACGCCATCGTCGGTGGGTCGGTTGGTCGGTCGGTCGTTCGGGGGTATTGATTTTCCGCCCCGTCGTGCATGTATATGTGTGCGTTTGCGTGTGTATGTGTGCGCGCGATCACCCACAAACACATTCGCCTCGACGGCCGGCACACCGCGGCGCGGCTGCGAATCCGCTCGCGGAATTCCGCCAAGTCTCTCCCCCGGCTTCGTCGTCGTCGATTGCTGCCCTCGCTTCCGGCTACCTCGCGAAGGGCTCTTCGTGGTCCCGATCGAGGGATTCGGGGACCGCGATCGGATTATTCGGCGGTACTCTATTGTGCCTCGTCACCGTTCGCGGTCGTGCCGAAGGAGAAGTTTCCCGTAAACGATCGTCGCGACGTTGATTATTACTCCCACTCTGCTCCTCGTCGTTCCTGAGAGGGGAGAAGGTGGTTTCTCGAACTCCACGAGGACGTCGGAGTCTCTGTTTCTGTCGGGTTTTCGACGGGCGTCACTTTCAGCGTGTGCATATTCACGTAGGGATACTCGTCCAAAAGTGACAATCACACGTTTCTCTTCTCTCTCTCTTTCTCTCCCTTTTATCTCATGATGGAACCGTTTGATCTGATCTCGCGTTTGCGTTGGTTGCATGTTGCAGGTTGCGCCGATTGATTAATCTAGCGGCACTAGGAAGTGTCACATCGTCGTCGCCGGTGTCCCGAAGAGTCAGTCAGGAGGCGGGAAGACAAGGCTCTTGTCGAGGAAGAGGAAGGCTGTCGCCCGGTATTTAGTCCCGTCAGGCACCCGACCACCAGCCGGCGATGCCTGCACCGACGTCAGCGGCGGGTGCGGCCGAGGGCGGCCCACCCCGCACCGAACTGCAGGAGTTACAGCTCAAGGCCGGTCAGACAACGGATGAGGTGAGTGATATATGTATATATATATACATATATATACATGTGTGTGTATGTCTATGTACATACGTATGCGCGATGTGACAGCCACGAGGATTTACGATGCAGCGATTAAAATCAATGTAATTTCGCCAAACTCGGTTCTCGAGGCTTTGGTTTTCGCGCGAGATTGTTTATTCGCGACGTTGGAAACACGAAAATCGGCGTAAAATTCTTTTTGTCGCAATATTTGAATTACGCGACAAATTTGTTATAATTTTCAGCAAATTTAAAAAATTGCCTTTTGAATATAATATTTATTTATTTATAGTAGCACCAGATAAAAAGAAAATTAATTAATTTATATTTATAAAGTTTCATGTCGCGTCTCGCACATTTTTTTATTAATATTATCCTCGCTGGTCGGATTAATTATTTTGGGAAAGCGACAAGGATATTAAAAGAATTTTTGAGAATTCTTGAGAACAACGTATTGACTAATGGAATCAGTCTTTTCGAAAAAGCCATATCTCCAAAAAGCGCGATATTGCGTTGAAAAAAACATATTTCTAGGCTCATATCTTTTTTACGGGAAATAATATAACACACTAAAGATATAACCAATGAAAAATATAGTCTTTCCGGAAAAAAAAAAAATTGATCAGCCCGTGACACAGACAATGAGAATTGGTCGCGTGGTGTATAATCGGCATGATCGACTTCTGTTTCAGTCTCTGGAGAGCACGAGGCGTATGCTGGCGCTATGCGAGGAGGTGAGTCTGTCCCTTTCATCATTAGTCCCTCCTTAATTTGCGCATCGACCCCTCGATCCTCTCTCGATCGTCCTCGAGATCCCGCGTCGGTGCACCAACACCCCTTTCTCGTTATCCTAATCCCGTGTAGCAGCCCTTCCGTGAGAATCCGCTCTCCGTTTAGATCTCCATTCGATTCCTCAGACTCTTCGAATCCCGAATTTCTCCCCTCCGTGTCTGTCTCGTAAACTAGGAACGATTTTCATCGACGAATCGTTGCGCGCTACTGCGGCAAGACGGGCGCCACTGCTCGCTCCAAGTTCTACTTTGGAACTGCTAGAAAACAGAAAGAAAAAAAAAAAATAAGAAAATGGCAGCAAGGAGGAAAGGAGTCGCGCCAGAGAGAGGTGGGCAAAGTACTATTTCGATCGTTAACCGGTCAAGTGGCGGATCTATCGATCGATTCGATTTGATCCCTCCGAGATTCGCACTGTCGAGAACTGATTGGTATACCGTAAAGCAGACAGTCAGATACGAAGATCGAAAACGATCTAGTTTAATACATAGAGGAATTGACTAGGCATGCTCTCGGTATAATTAAATTTGCAAAAGTCCTGGAAAGACCATTGCTTTTTAATTTATTCGGCTGCGAGATCTCGTATTCTCTTGAAGTCTCATTTTTTTATACATTACAACTTTTGCTACAATATTCCATCAAAGCGCCGCTTGACCGGTTGAACATTATTCTTGCGGGCGCGCCGATTCCGCTTTTGCGAGATTCACGCCGACGAGATACACTCCTATGGAGTCCAAGTCGCAGGGGGGGGGGGGATCGCGAATCGTAAACTAGGAACGATTTTCATCGACGAATCGTTGCGCGCTACTGCGGCAAGACGGGCGCCACTGCTCGCTCCAAGTTCTACTTTGGAACTGCTAGAAAACAGAAAGAAAAAAAAAAAATAAGAAAATGGCAGCAAGGAGGAAAGGAGTCGCGCCAGAGAGAGGTGGGCAAAGTACTATTTCGATCGTTAACCGGTCAAGTGGCGGATCTATCGATCGATTCGATTTGATCCCTCCGAGATTCGCACTGTCGAGAACTGATTGGTATACCGTAAAGCAGACAGTCAGATACGAAGATCGAAAACGATCTAGTTTAATACATAGAGGAATTGACTAGGCATGCTCTCGGTATAATTAAATTTGCAAAAGTCCTGGAAAGACCATTGCTTTTTAATTTATTCGGCTGCGAGATCTCGTATTCTCTTGAAGTCTCATTTTTTTATACATTACAACTTTTGCTACAATATTCCATCAAAGCGCCGCTTGACCGGTTGAACATTATTCTTGCGGGCGCGCCGATTCCGCTTTTGCGAGATTCACGCCGACGAGATACACTCCTATGGAGTCCAAGTCGCAGGGGGGGGGGGGATCGCGAAGAGATAAAGCTTCGTGGGGACCATACAAGGAGAAGGGAAGACGTACGTGTAGGTGGACGTCGGAGACGCGACATGCGTTTTTTCGAAGTAGTATTTTATCCAGCTCTGGTGCCATACGGAAGCGACGATTTCGAAAACGTGTTGCGGATCCGAGCTTGTAAAGAAACGGGTATAGAGAGGATTTACTTTGCGCGCCTCGCGAGCGGAGAGAGCTCATCTCCCCGGGAGGGAGGGGGGCAACAAATCCCTGTGCCTGCGATTTTGTGGAGAATCGCGAGAAAGAAATAAAAAAGAAAGGAGAAAGGAAAAGTAGAAGAATCGATCGAGGGAGAACAAATCGATCGCGCGAATTTGTAAGACGACGCATCGACGTGCTCCGAGAGACGGCGAGGCACGTTGCGAACGTACACAAAAAAAAAAAAAAAGAAAAAAAACTGGTTTCCTTTACTGATTAGATTTTAATTAGCGTTGTATTTACAAAGACGATGCAGACTATGCGCTTTATTTAAAATTATCATATTTTTTATAATATTTATGTTAATTAACAAATATTATAATAAATACGAAGAAAATATACAAAAAAATGTTAAATTCATATCATTAAAATAATTCAAAAATTGTCGCACTTCTCTTCTAGAAATCCGAAATTGAATATTTTTTTTTTAATATGATAAATTTATTTATGGTTATGCCTTAAAAGTTGAAAAGAAATACGAAAATATTCTAAAATAAACTAAACTAGAAAAAAAAACTAAAATATTCTATAATTAAATATAAGCAGATTTAATTTTAGCGAAAACTTTGCTCGAGATTTAAAATTCTTTACACTTCTTAAAATTAGATATTTATAATCAGAATTTCCTTGAGAAAAAGTCCACGTTTAATTTATCAAAGAAACTGCTCGGAAAGATATCCGATAACTTTGAAGCACGATTTATATATTGGATGTACTAGAAAAAAAAAAAAACGCGAAAGTAAATTTATTGTAATTTTACATTCGTTTAACATTTACAAAAATAATGTCGCGAGACAAAAGCAGGATCGTATCGCTCAAATGTTCTCATTCGAAAAGAAGATCTGCCGAGGTCCTTGCGTCGTTCCATTTCAGTCTCTCTCGCTGCTACTTATCTACCTGTGGCTGCACTAATAAGCACGTGTCGCATTCTTCCGAGCACCGGGGACGTCCCTCGAATCATCATCGGCCGAGAGAAGCGTACGTACACATACCCACATGCGTTATCATTGTCACGTCGCGCGTGATAAGTGATCGCATTCTCGATCGTGACCAGGGGCAACAAATCGTCAAGTCGCAGACTTCCAAGGGAAAACAATTCTCGGAGGTTGCTTGCTTGACTATTATCTTTTTTTTTTTTTTTTTTTCTCGGCGACACGATGACGAAAATCCCCGAGAAAATTGAAAGTGAGACATGCGAGAGTATTACGTACGACTTTACGTCGAAAGTGGCGATCGGCGACGGAGATCGATCCGTTCGCTTTTTATCTCTCTTTCTTGTATAGCTCGATCGTCAACTTTCTTGTTTTATCGGACGCTGATCAATTCGCGGTACGCCCGCATCTCTTTTGTGACCCTTTTTTAACGCAAGCTCCCTATGCGACGGTGTGTGAGCGACGCCTTTTTTTATCGATGGTTTTAACTCGAACGTGTATATTTCGCCCTTTTCCGAGCGATTGATTCCTTTTGAGCGAGATATATCTTGGAGAGAAAATTTTATTTTAGCGAAGGGAGATATTTTAATAAACGAAATGAATAAGGTTTGGAAGGAATTTTTATCTCTATTTAAGTACGGTTATATCGGCGTGCAAATGTTAGAAAAAAATAGTTTTGTTTTTAAATAACTTAAAACTTTTTTAAATATTTATGTTTTTTCATATTTTGTCTATGCAGTTTATATATATATATTAAAATCATAATTTTATATAACGCACGTTGCTTGAAAAGATCAGATTTATCATATCTTTGTTTCTCTTATTAATTTTGATTATTGACCGTTCGTTAACTAGCAAATTTACTCTCAAATTAAGCGGCAAATGCATCTTATTGTGCGGAAATTTTCCGCCACAGGTGCTTTCAATTTAATCCATCATTATTTACTGATAGACTTCATTTATATTTATATTGATCCCGGAGCACTAATAGAGATAATTGTCAATTAACGCTAATATGATTTTGCATATAATATAGGAAATATATAGGAAGACTATAGAGGGGGGGGGGGG